CTGTCCATTGTCCCCAGAGGCAGGGAGCAGGCCCACCCCTGTGGAGGGATGAGACAGCAGTCTGGCAACTGATTCCCTCAGGGGAGGGAATGCCTGCGCATCTGACCTCCTCCCACATCCAATGGCGTAGAGTTAGAAAAGGAAAGAACACGCTCAGCATGTCCAATGACGTAGAGTTAGAAAAGGAAAGAACACGCTCCCACATTCATCTTTGAATGACAATTTTTAAAGATCTCACAGGCCAAATATTGACTAATGCAGGGACCATCTAAAGAAAATAGAAAGAATACACCAAGCCACTGTACCACACAGAAGTAGTTGACATTCTACCATTTCAGGAGGGAGCAAGAACCAATGGTGCTGAAGAAAGAAGTTCAAAGTGCACCGAATACACAAAAACAAGCCTCCAGGAATCACTGTCACAGTAGCAGGGTGTTTTGACTATGGTGACATAATAGTTTTCGAAGAAAGGAAGGGAACAGCTTCCTACTTCCTCTTCCTCTTTAGCAGTGCTATGCTTCTCCTGCATTTCTTTCTTTACTATATAAAGTTGGCGATTAGTCTTTCCATTTCTATGAAGAATGATGTTTTCATCTGGAACACAATTGCACTATATTTATAGACTACTTTCAGCAGGATCCACATTTTCACGATATTGAGCCCTTCTATCTGTGTACATGGAACCTTCTGACATTTCAATACCTCTCTTTGGGTTTCTTATAGTAGTGCTATTTTCTTTGTAGAAGTCTTGTTTCTCTGGCTCGGTTTGTTGCCAAGTTTTCTATCTTTTGTGTCCTATTGTGAGCATTTCCTTACTCTCCTTTTCAGAGTCTCCTCCTTGGTCTACAGGAGTCCTGTTGATTTTCCTATGTCAGCTCATGCATCTTTCCAGACAGCCAACCTTTTGTTAATGTATAATTTCTAAGTTTTCATTTGTTTTGTCAGATGGCTCTCATAGTGCTTTCCTGAGTTCTTCTATTTTCTCTTGTGTTGTTGTTTTCTCTCTAGCTCTCTCATGTTTTCATCCATAATTGGAAGCAACTAAACATCATTGTTCTGAACTCCTGCCTGGGTAGTTTGAATGCCTTTTATTCCCCCCAGGAAAATCCCATAAGTCCATGCTTTGGCTACTTCCTCCTGGATGCTATCTTATTTCTGACGTCTATTGAGATTACCTGCTGTTTCTGAGTTGTAATGTTGTCGTTTGGGGTTCCAGTGTTTGGTCCAGTGATGTTGGAGCAGGTCATGTTCTCTGAGCAGCAGTTGTAGCTTTTGAAGGTTTGGTGGTGGCTGGGGCCTGTTCCAAGAAGAGATGGCTGATGAATAACAACAACAACAACAACAA